GTACTCTTCAACAAATGGGCGCATTGTCTCAAGGGGAGTTTTCAAGACAATTCTCATTTTTTGCATTCTTCTGTGCATTAATTTATCAGTGGTTTATACTAGGGATAACAGTCAAATTTGCTAAAGTTAATTTAGTTGTTCCAAAAAGAGGTTTGTAGGTAATGAACCAAACAAGGCCTAGGAATATATATTATTGCAGTAATCAAGTTTTGGTTTTTTTTTTGAGATAGTTCAAACTTACACTTGTTTTACTATTACAAAGTCACAGTCCTGTTGTGATACTTTTCTTGTACCTTGTAATAAGCCAGAAACTGGTTTAAAAAATAGGCAAAAAAATGTTTCAAAAAATGATGCATTAATTTTATAGGTTACTCTAGAAAGCAAGCAAAGCATTTCAGCTCAGCAAAAGGGAGATCATGGCTAAGGCTTGGACTGTGTAGATAGTTTTTCTTAGCTGGTTCTTCTTGCTTTGTATCTATAGCTCCACAAAATTTCTTGTTTTATTTTCCACTATAGAGAGAGCTTACAAAACATGTGATAAGCAGAACTGCCTGCCTTGTTATTTTCCCTGGGATCCTCTACCTCCTTCAATTTTACATTATGTTTGCTGTATTATCAAAGAGTGGAGCCCATGATGATATGATGTCCAGTGCTTTCCAAGCCAGTCTTCAGGTAGCTTTATATTTTGCTATATACATGTTTACATGTTTCTCTACTAATGCAAGGGAAAATTTATAGTGATGTCAATTTTGTATCAGTGTTCAATATTAATAAACCAGCTCTGTATTTACGATTAAATTTTGCTACACCCAGGGAGGATTGGCAAAGGTCACACATGGTCAAGCAGAGGGTAAGTCTTCCAAATAGTGTTGTTGATCTTAAACTATGCCCTTTGTATTAACAATTTTGCATAACTGCATTTTTACATTACAAACACCCTGAAGTTCAGCCTTATAGCGTAGAGCACATGGTGGTGCTGTTGGGGGGGTACAAACTTGACCCCACCAGACAAACATCTCTTAAATTTGAAAGTGTTTCTTGGCTCACTTCAAATTTATCTTTTTCAAACTTGGCAAGTTTACTAATTTTAAGGCGTTGTTTTGTGCAGTGTTGATGGATACCGCCAAAGTAGTTGTTATGACAACTTGATAAAAACCATGGGAGGGTCTGTTGCAAGATCAGGACTCAGTCCTGGTCAATTTCCAAAGTTTGCAGCCTTTCTTTCCAGTGCAGTCTGCTCTGACTACTGGTTGGATTTGTTCCTCAATAGTCCTGCCTGCAACCTTTTGGCCATACATGTAAATAGCTGACTGCAGGGTTTCTCACCTGCCAGATGGGGGGTTTCAACTGGAACATTTTGTTTGTGATGTATTTCATCAGATTGCTTGTAGACCAGCTCGATCAGCTCAGTGCACTTCATAATAAAAATTTTGAAGCGAAGCATTTTGAGATCAATGCAGTTATTACAACTATTAGTCATGACAACTATATAGTCCTGAGGTCTGACTACAGTACTCTTTCACCACTTCAGAGGTAGCATATGGTTCTCAAGTCACACTACGGAACACCTTTGGTAAGCAATGCTGGCTTCACTCTCATGAGCACACCTATCCCGTCAAGTATCCTGATGGTCGTGGTAGCTCTGCCCAGCAGCAAGTCACATGTTATGGCTTTAAGGATGTCAACAACTGGTGGATTATCAAAAACCCAAAAACGTAAGGCTCTATGATTGGTCGTTCCCTCTTAACCCCTTCACTGCCAGAGTACTTGATGGAGTTTTGTAAGGCGACTCTAACTTTTAAATCTGCAGACAAAATCCTCTGATGTGACCATTCAAATGAAAGCTCTCTGCCTGTACTTTCACTTGATGCTATTTTTTTGTCAAAATTTTAGAAAATGAAATGTGGAAATTTGGTCGAAATTTGCCTTTGGCCACATTTGGCCGTGAAAGGATTAAAGAGCACTATCAGAGTTGTCAGCTTGGTTGTTTTCTCAGTCCTTTTGCCACGTGAATGTACATTAAGATTTAACTTGTGGATTGCCCCTCAAGAACTACTCTTTGTTAGGATTTCACTGTACACTAGGATGTTTTTTGTGTTAATGGATGTTATACTGTTCCTAGTAATGTGAAAAAAGCTTCCACGTTGTCCTCCTTCAAATATAACATCAGAAAAGTGGATCTTAGCATGCTATTAGATGACAATAACTGCTCTAACTGCTCTCTTTGCACTTCTTAATCTTTTATTTCTTTTTTTTTTATTTATAAGTAATGGATACATTTGTACATATTGTATATAGTTCTCTCGAATTTCTCACTTGCTTATACTGTACATAGTTTTTCTTAATTTTTAATTAATTTATTAATTGATTTATTTTTTAAAATTTATTTTAGTGTCTCCACTTAGTGGTTATATACCGCTATTACAGTTTGACACTTTAATAAAGGTATCATCATCATCATCATCATCATGTATAATTTTAGAAAACTTGTGTAATATAGTTACAGCTTAATAGCTGATTTGACATTTTAGTGAGATCCCATTGTCTGGCAGTTTTGTTGCCAATATAATATTATTTTGGTGGACTTTCCAAATGTATATTCTTCCTTTTGGGCTGATGACTTGGCCATTCATTTTTCAGAGAATCCCTTGCTATAGAGTATCCACCAAAACCTGTACACAATGGCGATATAATTCAGATTGTTCATGGGGTGACTGGTAGAGCTTTGAACAGGTAAGAAGAGATCCTAGCAACAGCAACTGATTTAACTTTTGTGATATTAACTATGAAGAACGTCATTGTTTGTCTTGAAACACTCGAAGGTTCTGTTCAATCATTCATACCTATGATGAGCTCTTTGAGTGTTGTCAACCTGCTAAGAAACTGGCTACTTTGAAACTATTTGATTCCAATAGGTTGTACTTAAGCCGAGGAAAGAGAGCCGACATTTGACGCTTTTATTTTATTATTTAGTCATGATGTTGCTGCTCCTTTGAACCCGTCCAATCAGGAAGTTTCCTGCTACATTGACTACAACATCTCAATGCCTGCTCAGAACCTGTGGAAACTGGTATGTGTATCTGCACCGTAGATAATGATGTAGTGTATGTTTTTCAAAAAACATGTCCACGAAAAACTAAGAAATCACTTTTTTAAAGCTACCATTAGCTCAAGTTTATTGTTTAAGGTGGCTTCGTCATTAGTAAACTCACATTGAGGTATGCGTTTAACTGCTTTACGTTGCTTCCAATTCAAAAAAAGGTATTGGTTCTGTAAGCTACCTTGTATCAGACCGCAGGTAGAACTGTCGAGCACCTTTGTTTATGACTGCAAAATGAGCACGTGCGACATTTCTGCGAGGAATTCGCACCTCAGCCAGGGGGGGCGAATGACATTGGAGTCACCTTAAATTCACTAGATTGATCCTCTATTTGCTTTGTATCCTGGGGCCGGGAGACAAAAAAAAATGAGAACTAACCTAGGTTCAGTCAAAATTAACCAGAGAACAAATTTCACCTGTAACATACACATACCACCATGTTATCTGTATATGTTGTAGTTGATTGTTCATTTCAGGGAATTTTTATTTTTTCCTTTGTTTAACCATCATTAGCATACATTACCATACCCAAAAACAAAAGGAAAACAAAAAATTACCTGAGATAAAAAATTAACTACAACATATATATTAGTACTGTTGTTGATTGGTGTTGATGCTGTTGTTTTGGCTCCAACATTCAAATCTTTAAAGAACGCGGTTTTAATATTTGTCTTGTGTTTTTCAACGTCAGGAGATAATTAACCCAGACAGTAGTAATGTATGGAAGACTATTCACTCTCAAGTCCGACTCATTCATGTTAACACTTCTCAAGCTGTGAAGGTAGGTTTTCTCAGTAAGAGTTAGCTTGATATGAGGGAAATAGTCCAGCTGGCTGTCATTATCGCTATTGTTATCACGAAAGGCCGATTTATAGCGGGTGCGCGCAGCGGAGCTCCACGGCGAAGCAAAATGGGAAAAAAATTTGGTTATGACGTCAGCGTACGCCCACTCGTACGTGTGTACGGACTGGCAGGGAGGTACTAAGTGGACTGTGCAGGGGAGTCCAAGACATGTAGCTTGCGTTTGTATTGGCGAAACAGTAGGCAGTTCACCTAGAGGCAGCCAAATGCGGGGCAAATGTTCCATTAACACTCAATGAAAATGAAAGCGGTATTTGAGCGTAAATAGGACAGCTCATGGCTACGTTCGCAGCAATAATGTGAGGCTATCGGTAGTGCGTAAATGCGGTGAATTTGCAAAACTGATTCTTTTACATTGATTGAGAGTGAAATTAAGACAAAAGAAAGGAAAGTTTATACAAATCATGTTTCCTGAACCAACCGTTGCAGAGTACTCTGAACTGTGTGGTGGAGATTTTATCGAAATTTCCACATCTTCCCACTCCTTCCTTGACTCGCATCGATAGCAATCACTCATTTTCAGACAGCCATTTTAACACCCAAGGTTTTCAGAAGTTAACCCTTTAAGCTCTAAGAGTGATCAGCATCAAATTTCTCCTTGTAATATCAATGTTTTGTAAAACAGAGTGGTCATGAGAATTACGGACATGTTCACACAAGATGAATTTGCTTGAAATTTTTTCAATTTCTCCCCACTATTTCTGTAGGAAATGAATAGGGGCAACAAATGAGAATTCAAATGTTGATTTTAGGGTTTAAAGGATTAGTACTGGACATCCCCACACACTGTGTTGACTGGGACTTTAACCTGAATGCATGGATATATCCAGAAACAAAAACATGGAAGATAAAAAATAAGGTTTCAAATGTATTTTATTGACTTCAATTTGAGTTCGCGAAGAATAAGCGACGAATAAAAGAACCTTTATCCATTAAATTTATATTAAAAGTCCCTCGATGAGTTTAAGTTTATTTAATAAGCATCATTACAATAACACTACACTGTATTCGTAAGAAAAATCGATATAATGCCCGTCGCTTATATCAAGCGAGCATAAACATCACAGCACGTTGTTCCTCCATTGTCGCTTTCACTGCTGTTCGCCAAATCTTCGCCGTACCACAAACGAAGCTCCTGCCCTCGAGTCACGGATGGAGGATTGGAGAAAGCAGACAGCACCAGCTCTGGAGAAAGTGAGTTGTAACCAGGAATCAAAGACCACTTGTGTGTCTTATCAGTTATGAACTGGCTCGAAGGCAAAAGAACGCTACCACTCGATGTTGTTATCGCAACGTCTACATGGTTACTCAAGCTTGAGTGTTTGCCGCATCCCCAATAAGACCAATGGTAAGCTTTGCCAGTATCACACGTCACATAACCGTACACGTGGACCAGTTTGACTGATGCTAGTTTGCCGCTGGACGGAACAAGGAACTTGCCAAACCGGTTGTCTCTGGCTCCAAAACACACCAAATTTGTATTCAGCTTTATCCACCCGTCTGTAACGAAGCGAAAATTAAATGTTTTGAGTAAAGTCTAAACTACATTGATTTAAACAGTGGTTATATGCTAATTGCCAACTGTAAAAACAAACAGTTTGGCACTAACTGCCAAGAAAGAATAAACATTTGAAGCGAAGATTATTTTACTTTCATCTCCAGCCGATTGAGATCTGAGTTAAACAATAAACTTAGTATGATACTCTACATTTCGTTTAGCTCGTATATGACACGTAGCCGACGTGGTCCTTTTGCTGTTGATGAATAGCCACAATAAATATGGAAAATATATTAATAAAAACCTGTTTATTTTACATTTGCTTGAAATGAAGGAATTCTTAAATGTCTTAGTTTATTAAACCGAGAGATTTTTTCAGTTGAATTTTATACTCGCTCCCTTCCCCGGATTATGTTTGGTAGTAAAAAATTCCGGGACTATTATGAGGAAGCAACGATTTCTCTTCTATTCATTTGTCCGTAAGTATCGTCGACTTCTTGAACAGTTCTTTAGCTGTGATATCTGTGGAGGGAATTAAAGCTGAGGGAATTTAAAGTTTGTAGGTGGAGTTGTGGTTTTCTAAACTTGATCATTGCGATGACGTGTCCCGACTCAGGGAATACCTTATCATTTTAAGAGCGATACAAACACATAAGAGAGGAAGCGATTGGGAAGCTTATTTGAAATCCATGCACTTAGCNAAAATTAAATGTTTTGAGTAAAGTCTAAACTACATTGATTTAAACAGTGGTTATATGCTAATTGCCAACTGTAAAAACAAACAGTTTGGCACTAACTGCCAAGAAAGAATAAACATTTGAAGCGAAGATTATTTTACTTTCATCTCCAGCCGATTGAGATCTGAGTTAAACAATAAACTTAGTATGATACTCTACATTTCGTTTAGCTCGTATATGACACGTAGCCGACGTGGTCCTTTTGCTGTTGATGAATAGCCACAATAAATATGGAAAATATATTAATAAAAACCTGTTTATTTTACATTTGCTTGAAATGAAGGAATTCTTAAATGTCTTAGTTTATTAAACCGAGAGATTTTTTCAGTTGAATTTTATACTCGCTCCCTTCCCCGGATTATGTTTGGTAGTAAAAAATTCCGGGACTATTATGAGGAAGCAACGATTTCTCTTCTATTCATTTGTCCGTAAGTATCGTCGACTTCTTGAACAGTTCTTTAGCTGTGATATCTGTGGAGGGAATTAAAGCTGAGGGAATTTAAAGTTTGTAGGTGGAGTTGTGGTTTTCTAAACTTGATCATTGCGATGACGTGTCCCGACTCAGGGAATACCTTATCATTTTAAGAGCGATACAAACACATAAGAGAGGAAGCGATTGGGAAGCTTATTTGAAATCCATGCACTTAGCATTAAATTACGAGTAGTTTTATTATCAATGTGCGATTTCGTATTCATTGCCTCGCGTAAGAAAAACGAGCGATCCATGGCTTTTGTCTACAATTCCTAACTGGGTAGCTTAAGATGTCACTTAGCATTGAATTATATGTTTTATCAGTCTTATTATCAATGTGTTCGTATTTATTGCCTCGCGTCCGCCAAGTCTGAAGCCCGAAAAAAAAAACTAAAAAAAAGGAAGGAGAAAAGGAGTAATTTAAGGCAGGAGCAATTTGTTCCATTTCGATATACCTCCGTTGTCCTTCTTGTTTATCTTTGTCAGCTGCTGGGTAAGTTCCGTCTTCAATGTTTTAAATTCTTTTTTGAGTTGCGATTTGTTCCATTTCGATATACCTCCGTTGTCCTTGTTCATCTTTATCAGTTGTTGGGTATGTTCCTTCTTCAATGTTTCGAATTCTTTTTTGAGTTGCGAAGTGATTTCCCTGAGGGTATTAGCACCCGA